CATAGGAACAGAGGGGAAAACTAATAGAATGGCAGAAGAGACTGAGTCTATGAACTGGAGAATGCATAGTTACATGTTTTTACAGCTTCTAGCAATAGGCAGATTGCTCTAATCAGTGAGGAGTGGCCATTATAGAGGAAGAGATGAACATGATGGCAAAACCAGCACTCAAACCAGTAGGTTTGTGGGATCCTCAAGCAGCTTTTGGTTACTAGTCAGTACTATGGCTAGTAATGGGACAGTGAAATGTGGGCTTTCTTCTTGAAACTGTCCCATCTGCTGGATACTCCATCCACATTCAGAATTGCTACAAGAGCAGACTGTGAGAGACCAGCTGCTCCATGGGCAGAGATAAGCTACAGAACCTTTTGTAAATGTGTAAAGGATGGTCTTACTAAGGATGGGGAGAGGTTCTTTTAACATCCTGGAGACAACACCTCTCTTCCCAGTCAAAGACCCACAGTCCCTTGCATTCTTGCCACACAAATGCCAAATCCTGCTGTTCCACTCTGGCCTCGTGTCAGCAGTACATCATACTGGAGACAGGTAGCGTTGCAGAGGTCAGTGGCAGGCTTTTGATCTTAGTTGGCTCTGCTTCACTGTTATTTATTTCTTCTCCCCATGTACTCCCTAATGTAATCTTCCCCCTTCTGCAAAGGTTGAATGAAGAGGATAAAAGTAATGAGTCACAGTAGGAAAAGCTGCTGTCTGGAGATGAAGAGACAAAAGGAATTTTCTGCTGCAGCTTCCAACAGAGGCAAGAGGTTTAGAGGGATCTCATTTTTCAGCTGGCTTCACTCTCTGGCACAAAAGTCTAAGACTGTAGGGTGAAATGTGGGTTTTTGCCTCTGTTTTTGGAAGGTTTCAAGTAACCAAGTTGCCATGGATTGTGGAGCACAAGGTACACAAGAACAATGAGAACTTTTGTTGGCTTTGGTTCCATTAGGGTTGTTTGTGAATCCTCACTGGAAAAGCTTTCTTATTAGGGAAGCAAGAAGGGATTTGGGAGCAGAAGCGTGAAGTAACCTCTCTGTGTTTGTATTACATGAGCCAGAACAATTGAGCTTCTCATGCTAGATGTAAGAGAAGTGACATTCATAAAGGAACCTGGAAAACTCAAGTGCTTTTCTGGATTGTTAAGTGTCAACCATGGAGTGGAAACAAATGCTTGTTGCAAAACTTAAAAAAAAAATGATGGCCAGTACTCAGTGATGGACAGAAAAATGCTGGAGCTGAAGTTCAAAGAGAATCTAAACTGTGCCAAGAAGAATGATATAATGGTTTGAGCATGTAGAAAGTGATAAATTACTCTTCCAGGTACCACCTCTCCTGCTCTTACCTTCTCAGAGAACTAGGAAACAACACTGTCACTTGCACTGTGCACTTTTTGCTGTCTAAGAGAATCTATAGTAAGTGGAATGGCATCATGTGCATTGCATGTGTTAGCTGCAGTCAGAGGTTTATAATTAGCTGGATTTATAATCAGCTGGATTTTTCACTGTATAAATTTGGCCTGAAGGACAGCTGCACTCACAGTTCCTTCTACCAAAAACCCAATCATCATCTGAGAGCACATATAACAAAAACCTTGTTAGTCACATACGTGTCTTTGTAGAACTTAATTTTAAGATTATAAAATGAGGGGAAAAAAAAGAATTTTAGGTACTTGCAAGGATTTTGCCAGTTGTCCATTTCTTTGGTTTTGAAGTCTTGATCTCAGCATCCATTTTAGAATGAGTTTAAAGCTATTGTTCAAACGTTGCCTCTCCAAAAGGACTATTTGATGTACTTTTCAAAACCAGCTATAATTGCATGTAAGTCCTGCTGTGGAAATTTGGTTTTTGTGGCATTTTTTTCTGTTTCTTTTTAAATGGACACTGAATAAAAAAGTTTGCATGTTTAGAGAGAATATTAGATACCCCTTAAGTTCCCAATAATGAAGAGTGTAGGTACTAGGTAATGTAATAAACTGCCTGTTGTATGTAGCTCTCCACATACTACGATTCACTATGCAGTGGATAGAGAGGTGTCTGTGCATTTAAAGATTGATGAAGCCCTGCTACCCCTTTAGATCAATGTTTTATGAAAGCAGGAGCCTGGAAGGCACATTTTCCAATTTTCCTTTCCCCTGTGACTGAAAAAACACTAAAACCAAATTTGTATGTATGTCATACTTTTTTTTTTTTTCTTTGGGTAAAGAGGGCTGGGAAAGGATGTTTATTGTTATATGTCAACAGGTCAGTGCTGGCAGGTCCAGGCTACTGCTCTTGGCTGTGTGGCAAAGTCCTCCATTGTATCATGCTGGAGCTTGATTCCTGGCACAAAAGGGATGTTTGAAAGAATGTCTTGCTGGGTTAGCAAATACCAGAACTTTTTATAGTAATATGTCCAAAATGCTGCTTGTATAGAAATAGTCACTTTTGTAAGAAAAGAAAAAAAGTCACAAAAAAAAAAGTCACATTCCTCACCCCCTCATTTGATGCCATTACATAAGATTTAGTTAAAGCTACCTCTCAATGTGAAATTCAAACATTAGGTAAGTTTAATAAGGTTTTCTCACTGTCATGTTACGTAGAAGTTATAGTGAGTGCCAAAATTGCAAAAGTTTATCTCCAAAAAGGAAAAGAGTTAAGTTGGTTTTTTAAAATATGTATTTGAAATAATTCAACAGTTTCAAATTATTGTGAATTCTCTTAAATTCTTCTAACTTCTGTAATTTCAACCTTGCAAACTCTAGCTGCTGGACAGGAAATAAATTATAACCACAAGCTTTCATAATTAAGGTCTGCTGGGTAAAACAAATTTTGTATGGAGCTCTGTTGTTTGGTTACAGATATTACAGATAGCCTCAGTCACCAAATGTACCATTCACTTGGTCGTGATTTTTTTCTTCAGTACTCGAGATGTGAAGTTGATGAATGAGTGTTCTGTAATGGATGCGTGCCACAAATTACATGGTCTCATTTGCCTATTTTCTGACTTTTAATGATCAGTTTATTATTGCAGTTGTGAATATTGTTCATACAGCTTAATTTCTGTATAATTGTATAAAATATAAATGGAAAAAAATATAAGTTTTTACTTGGTATTTAGAAATAATGTATTATAAAAGACTTATGTTGCAGTTTTGCTTACAGAGTACTGTATTTCTAAACTGGATCATACCATCTTGGTAGGTGTAGATAGATTTTTTTGCATGAGTCTGTTTTGGTTTTATTTCTTTTTAACTGAAGTTTTATTCTCTTAAGTTCTACTTTCAGTGTTTGTGTTTACTACTTGTGATCATGTAGTTGTGCCTTACATTGTGAAAGAATTTAGTCCAGTGTGCATTGTAATTCTTAAACTCTGTAATTTGGAAGGTGGCTGTGGATTTGAATGGGAAGGTGACACCATGCATCAACGGGTTCTGTATAAACTATGATGAATTGTTGCTGAAATGTCATTTTTGTTTTCTAATAATGTTAAAGGAATGACTATTAATAATAATAAAAAAATTAGACCTTTCTAATAGACCAAGTTATATAATTCAAAACTACCTTGCCCTGTTTCAGACAGAAAAGCTACTTTGAAATGGTGGATATATAGTTTTACAAATGTAGGTGAACTGTTCTTACACACATGTAAGAGCAAGCTAAATGTTCCAGTTTCTTAGAGTTATAGGGAGATGCAACAAAGGCTCTCACAGTCCTGAGCTCACAGTAATAATGACTGTTTTTCAAATATCTTTTTTTAACAGGTTAAATTCAGAGTAGTCTTTTCATTCCCAATAGCTGCGCAAGGCTGCCGAGTATCTCACATGTGATGAAAGTCCTTCTGTCACTGTCTGTGTTCTAACATCACATTCAATGCAGCTGGACAATTGCATAACTGGAAGACTCAAAAAGTAGCACTTGTTTTATTTTTTAGACCAATAAAGGGCTCACTTGTGAAATGGAAAGCTCTTTCAGGGTGGAACTGTGTTGCAGAGAGAAGCCAGATGGTTAATATGGGAGATCAGTCCTGTGACAAAGCCACTATTGAATTATGGAGGCACAGCCAAACAACCCATGTTTAGCTATTGAAGCAGGGCCTCTGTGTAGATATGGAGAAAGATGGAGAAGAGAGCTCTCCTCTGAAAGGCAGTTTGAATTGGGAAGTCAATTTCTGCCTCAACTGCCTCCTGAGGTATTGTTCTCTTGACACCACAGAAGAGCCTACTGAGCTTGCATCTCCATGAAAACAAGCTTGTGTGTAAATGCTTCCTTCCCCTGGGCTGTCCTCCTTAGAGCTGTGCTGGTCAGGAATGACTGCTTGTCTGGTAAAGTGAGTAGACCTAGCTAAAGGTTGTTTTGTTAAAAAGTAATGAAAAGTGAAATACCCTCTCCTGCCTGCCAGCACACAAAGCACACACCTTAGTCTGTCAGGTGTGACTCCTCTAGGCTTGAAATACCTTTGTCCTGTTGGCACTGGTTTCAGGATGCTGTGAGGGTCTGGTGAGCCCTCGGTGTGATGCAGCTGAGCATGGGGCTGGGGAGATGGAGCACAGCTGTGCCAGCCAAGTTATGCCAAAATGTTGGCAGCTTGTGTGATGCCCTGGTGCAGATCTGTCTGTACACTATTCTACCCTCCTGCTTCACACATTCACCACTTGGCATGAAGCCTGAAGCCTGTTCCTTTCCCAGGAAGGAAAAACCTGCCCATAGTAGACACAGGGAAAGAGCAGGAATTTGTGTATCACAGTTGCCAGGCTGTATCTGGAGAACAGTGAACCAGGTAAGTGCACATATATATACATATATACACATGCTCAGTATTAATGCAAAAAACATTTTGGGATATTATAGGTTAGTGGGTAGAGACACATAAATATCAGAAGATACGGTTACACAATTCTAATTTAATGAAATTTATTAATACAGTTTGAATGATGCAATAACCTTTCTAAACTTCTCTGGTGAATGAGTTGTCCTTACCAACAGTTTTTTTTCCCTGTCATGCTTTCTAGGAATTGACAAGCTCTATTAAAGCTTCCCTGAATGGTAAGACCCTTCCCTAGGTGAAGCAAAAAAGCATCTAGGAGCGATATATTTGTTGCATGGCTCATTCCCCTCCTCCAATTTATTCCTACACGTGTGGTCTGTGTGCCATATTTTTGTCAAGTCAGAAATCTGTTAGCTTCAGAGACCTAAGGTATTACATTATAAAATAACTATATTATCACCACAATAGTCTTCCACTGGCTCTGTGTAATACTGACATTATTAAATTTCAGATGATTCAACAGGGAAGCAGAAAGCAGTGCTTTTCTTGGTTTCATGTTGTGTGGTGTAATTGGAGATTGCTGTTTCTATCTGTGACATCCATGCTTTCTGTAATAAGAAAAATATTTGTAAACCAAGACAACCTAAAAAATTTCCAGTAAGTTAGATACATAAACATCCAGAGCCTTTAGTTTTATTTAGCCTCTCTTCAGGCTTGTGCTCATAGTTGCTGAAGGAAATATGAATTATCCCACAACTGACACTCTCCTACTTGTTCAGGCCACTACATGCTGCTGGAATCTGTGTCTGGGGCCAGGGATTTCCAGTGAATGTTTCCATTTTTGGTTGGAAGGTAGGATTTTAATGCTCTGTTTGTAATGGTGAAGTTTATGGCAGGCTATTTCACCCTTTCTGTGTGATGTTTATTCCTTAGCTTAATGCTGTCCCTGTGGTTTGGGTTACTCATTTTTCTGATTAAGACAGTTCAAGCCCTATCAGCATCACAAGTTCTGTTCCCCTCCAAGATCTGCCATGTGCTGCCAACTGAATTTCAGTTTCTGTTACCATGCTGACAGCATTCAGGTCTATGTTTGCTGTCATCCAGGTATGAGGATGGGGAGTGATGGAGAGATAATTTCAAATATATAACTTCCTTCTCTCTACTAGTCCAGATAGTCTGGTCACAGAAGTTGAGTTGTCTCTGAATTTTTACAATTAGACATTGGACTAACCCTAAGAGGCTTTATCCTTTGGATTAAAACCTTTAAAGGGCCCTTTCAACCTGAACTATTCTATGATTCCATGACATTGAGAAGATGATAGTCCTGGTATGAAGGAAGTTTTGGAAAACGAAGGTCATATTTCAGTAACAGAAGAAAATAATGACTTTTTGAGTGGATAGCTAATCCAAGTACTAGCCAGGGACTTGAAAATGGAAAGAATTCACTCAGTGCTTCTCTTAGAACAGGTCTGCCACCATTTACTTGTCAAAATTAGTATTAGTGGTGGTCAAATTTCTGTGCATTAGGTATTGGAGAGGGAAAATCAACATACATCAGAAAGCAAAATACTGTGAAGTGCCTGACACACTTTCAGATGTTATACACAGTGCTGTTACTAGAAATGTGGCATAGTGTGAAAATGAGGGGTAAATTTATATAACAGTGGAATTAATCATGCCATCTGTTCAGTCTGAAATTGCAAAATGCATGTTGTGAATAGATGAGCACAAGACAGTTTTCTGATCTGAGTACTTCTGCATGTGAGTTGGGTGTAGAGGGGGTTGTTGTGTTGACTTCTCTGGAGGGGCTGACCATCTTCTGTGACACAGGAAATAGATATTTTTTTTAGCAATCAGAATTGATAATGTTTTTCAACAAGAATATGACCCGCTATCAACTCTGATAAAAAACTGGAACATGTTCAGCAGCAAAAATTCTCTAAGAAATATGTGAGCCAGAGCACTGGGGTGTTATTTTGTTTTGTTTTAGTTTTGGTCAAGTGTCACAATTGTAGGAGATTCTTATCACAGCATGATCACTTTTAGGCTGCCAATCTCGTTTATGGAAAGCATAGTTGTGTAATTAGAGAGGAAAAGAAAGATGTGTTACCTACCTTGGCAGTCTCTGTCTGAGCTTGTAGCAAGAAGACTGCAATGCACTGCTGGTACCTGTTCTCATGCTGAATTAGAAAAGCATTTCGCAGGCTGAAGACTGTGGAAAATGTAAAGAAGTGATATAAATGTACCTCATACAATTGACAGCCCAATTTTATATCACATTGATTATGATCAAAAAAATGATACATGTAAGCATCTTTTCAGATTTCTAAAAGGGCAATTGCACCCTCATAGGGTGAGTTAATTTTGTTGTGTAGGAAGCATTCTTATTTCAAAATGTTAGTTCTACTTGCATTTGTTTAATTTTTAATTGCTTCATCATGGTGCAGCTAAGATGCTTTTGAGTCTATCTGAGGATCATTAAGAAATATTTCCCTTCAAAGTGGCCTAAATAATAACTGAAGTTAGAGAAAAATATCAAAAAATAAAAAGAGAGGTCCCATTTTATTTAAGTAAGTCTGTATGATGGCTGGCACATGGGGAAGTGGCTGCACTCTGGCTAGTGCTAGCTTTGGGTTCTCCCTGGGCATGTGGCTGAGCTGGTGCTCCTGGGGGTGCCCTGCTTAGCTGCCAGCAGCCGGGCATGTTGCCTCTATTTCCTGCCAGACTTTTGTTCCTGAAGGTGACTGAGCATCATGTAGTGCATTTCTCTGCAAGGAGACAAAGTGACACCAATGTCATACATCTAGAATAAAGGGGGAGCTTAAGTTGCCTAGTGATTTTCTAATCAGAAAGTATGTTGCTGCTTACAACCTTCAGAGCTGGGTTCCTACTATTGTACTTACATGTAAAGTTGCATCTCATTTTTGCAGATAGTTCTGCATTTAGGGTATCTTCCTGGTGTTATGAACACACCAATTTATCTTCTATCCCTTCACTAATGCATAGAAGACTTTGGACAAGAGTTATCCTACATAATTATTAACCTCCTGCCTGCTGGCAAAAGGGTATTTCTAGGATACTACAACATACATTTTTTCTAGTATTTGCATTGAGCTTTGTTTATTTTCAGAGTGATGTCAACTCTCAGCAAACTAACAGAAGCAAAAGTACTTGCTAGATCGAAAGTCAGGATTTCATTTTTGATTAATGTGATAGATAACATGACCTTTCTGAGAACATGCTAACTAATCTTTTAGTGCCACCAGTAATAAAAGTCTCTTTGAGAGTGCAGATAGATTGGCAACATTCCCCAAGGTCACACATTCCAGACAATATTAAATATTTTTCCTTCTCTTTCAAAGGCACATTTTCTGTTGACATTGGAATGTTGGCTTGTTGTTTTACACAGAATGGTAGGAATCTGAACTACAATCTCCCTATAGTAATTTTTATCACTATTTTTATTGTACCTCACCCCAAGGGGTCCTGTCTTAGGATAGGGCTTCCAAGGTGTTACGAGACTACAAATGAGTATCAGAGACTACCATGGCTACAGGTGTAATAAAGCTGGTAGGAATATAAGGGAAAGAAGTCAAGCAGTGAAGCCGAGGGTGCAGGGAAGGGTCATAACCAGTGGACAGAGCCTAGGCTGGAATGCAGAAGGCAGCTTTTTCTATTCTGATGATTGCAGCTGGATCACAGAAAAACTGTGGTTAGGGATCTCTGGAAAATGCTGGTTTGGGAAAAAAAATCCTAAAGTATTATTTCCACCTCCATTATGATTTTTATGGCCAATTTATTAGGTGCAAACTGGAGGATGACTGCACTGCCTTCTCCAGCACCCAGGAGCTGTTGGCCTTTCATTCAGCCTGGGCTTACATGGGATGTGGGGCTGCCCTCCCCTCCACCCTGCAGGCAAGAGGTGGCTGATACATTTGCTCTATTTCTGCTGGTTTGGTAGGGGAACTAATTAGGCAGGCAGATAGTGCCTGGAATATGTTTAGAAAAAAGGTTATTCTTTGTATTCTTTCCCTTATCTTGTTTTTAGTAATTTGCCTTTTATTGCCTACCTTTATATCCTCTCAGCATTGATGCTGAATGCTAAATAGTCTGGGTGAATGTATTTCAAATTTATCGTAAATTTTACAGATTCTGGATTTATTTTCCTTATCTATTGCTTTCTCTCAGAGCGCTGTAGCTCCCTAAGCTTTTCCTCTCAGTCTTTAGGATTAGGATGACCCTGGAGCCCAGAAATTTGTAGTTCTATTTCTTTTAATTCTATTTGATATAGGAGGCTCCTGTGATCTTGGCAGTGATTAATGAATCCTTAAGGCTGGAAAAGACCTCCAAAATCATTGAGTCCAACCTTTGACTGAACACCACCATGTCAGCTAGACCACAGCACTGAGTGCCACCTCCAGTCATTTCTTGAACACTTCAGGGGTGCTGACTCCACCACCTCTCTGAGCAGCCTGTTCCAATCCTTAATCACACTTTCTGTGAAAATATTCTGGTGTCCAACCTGAACCTCTCCTGGTGCAGCTAAAGGCCATTTCCTTTTGTGCCATCTCTGCTTGCCTGGGAATAGAGACCGTCTCCCACCTGGCTACAGCCTTTTTTCAGGTGGTTGTAGGGAGTGGTGATGTCACCCCTTTTCTCCAGGCTAAACATCCTCAGGTCTCTCAGCCACTCCTTTTAGGACTTATACTTGAAACCCTTCCCAACTTCACTGCTCCTCTCTGGACACACTCTGGATTTTCAATGTACTTTTTGTAGAGAGTGGCCTGGAACTGGACACAGAATTTGAGGTGTGGTCTCACCAGTGCCAAGTACAGATCTTCCCTAGTCGGGCTGGCCACTTTATTGCTCCCACAAATAGGCCAGGATACTACTGGCCTCCCACAAATAGGCCACCTGGGCATGTGCTGGTTCATGTTGAGCTGGCTGTCAACCAGCACCCCCAAGTCCATCTTCTCTAGGCTGCTTTCCAGCCACTCTTCCCCAGGCTCATAATGCTGCATGGTGGTGTTGTGACTGAAGTGCAGCACACGGCACTTTGCCTTATTGAATCTGATGCAGTTGGCCTCAGCCCATTGATGCAGCCTGTCTAGATCCCTCTGCAGAGCGTTCCTACTGCCCAGTGGATCAATACTCCCACACAAATTAATGCCATCTATGAGGTGACTAAGGCTTCCTTTCATCCAGGTCTTTTGTAAAGGTGTTAAATGACGAGCACCAATACTGGGCCCTGGGGAACATCACTAGTGACTGGGCACCAGCTGGATGTGGTTCACCGCCAAGGTCAGGTGTGTGAGAGCCTGCTGCTCTCAGACCAAGGGGAGGCCTGATAGTGCATGCATTTCCCTGACCCAAAATCTGATTTTGGTGACTTCAGGAACCTTGTTTTGGCAGGGTAAGGCTGGTCACTCTCTGTGGCAGTCAGCCCTCCTTCACGCCACACCCAGCTGGACAGCAGCAGGGATAGGAGGTGTAATCCCCAGTGAGGCGTGCATTTGGATGTCTGAGAGTGGGGATTGATGTGTGCTGGGTGATGTCCATCCTCTCAAGAGCTGGTGGAGATGTGAGTAGGAGCAATAGCAGGATGTAAAAATCTCCTCTCCAGCCTCCTTGAGAATGGCTTCTGTGTATGTGGGACGACACCCAGGAGAACAATACAGTAGTGCAGCTGAAAAAAATGCTGTATGACTAGTATGGAACTGAAAATGTTCTTGGGGTGAACTGAAAGATGCCTGGGGTTTGAGAGAGCATATAAGGACAGTTAGGACAAGGGAACACTTGGCTTTTGAGAAAGAAGTCGTTGGAGTCTTGATACCTCCTTTGGGGAGAATGGATAGTATGTGACAGTCACTGGTGTGTGTGTGAGTCACTGCTGGCTGCGAAGTGAGGCAGCAGTTCACGCCTCCCAGCAGGAGCAGAGCTGTGAAGCCAGGCAGTGCTGAGGCACCAGTGTTTGCACTCCAGGCATCTGGAGGTGCAAACCACATGGTTTGTGGGCAAACAGCAGCTTGTCCTTATGCTACCACACATACAGTTCATCAACATGGTGTTTATGAAGGCATTTGAGTGCTTGCAGGCACATACCTGTAACTTGGATGGGTTCAACATTTTTCAGTATGAGTCTGTCTAGTGGGATGGGCTGATCTAGGACTGTGCAAAATCCCCCCTCTCTTATGAAGGACTGCAGCTCGGGAGTGAGGGAAGGACAGACAGAGATTAAATTGGTGTCTGAGCCTCCATATTTCTGGGAATAGAAAATGAAGTTGGTTAGCAGGTTGTCTGCCATCTGCTCATGAAGTATAGGCACTAAACAACTCCAAATTATGTGTTTTCTCTTATCAAAGATACACAGACAGCTTATTTGCCTGAGGAATCTTGGAAAAACTGACTGGTACCTGGAGATCTCCTGCAATGTCACACTTAGCATTAAAAAGCTACAAAAGAAACACTATACAAGTCCACAAGCAGAAGACAGTCATAAGCATTCCAAAAGTATTTTCCCCCTTTCCCTCCTTATTTTAATAACAGGTTTTTTTTCTCCTTTCCTTGGGGGTAAGTTTTCTTATCTCTCCTCCTGCATATGCACAGGACAGAATTCCTGGAGCTCCAGATGAGTAGCAACCCTTCACAGAAGGTTCACCAAAACATGTGCATGGGACAACCCCCAAAGAGATTTGCCTAAGGGTACCAGGTCCCTTGAATTTCTGCTTCCTTTACCAGCCCTGTTGCTAAGGGATGGTGCTGCAAATCTAAAGCCTTTCACTGCATGCTTTCTCTATCTCCCTTCTCTCTAAAGCAGAACACCTGCTTCTTAAAAAAATGCCCAAAAACCCTAGGAGATTATCACAGGTTTATTTAGACTCAGTTTACATCAGTTTCATAAACTTAATTAGCTAAATGCACTCCTATACTGAAACTTTAGGAATTTCAGGTCATCCAGTTCTTCTGTTGGTGTCTAAATACAAATATTTATCATCTATAGCACTCTATAGAATCATTTATCAAGAAACATTTTCTTAAAAGGAGTCATTATATCTCATTTTTAAAATTGGGGAAATCAAGGCAAAGAGGACAACAAGCAGTATAGCCAATCTTGAATAATATTAACCTTTCTCTGTTTTTTTTTCCTTTTAATTTTTTCTTCTTTCCAGCAGTTCTGATATCTTTGTGATAAAAAATTCTCAGGTTGCAGGGACCGTTAGAAAAAGTCTTACATTCCTGAAACTTTTCTGAGCTTTAGGAGTCCAGCACATCAGAACAACATTAGGAAGCTATTAAGGTCTTTTAATGTAAATTCTGCCAGTAATAGTGTTCCTGTACCATACTGAGCCTATAAACAGGCTTTTGAATCAGTGTTATGGTTTGCTAGTCACATAAGGAAGTATTAGCTGTTCTTCATGCTGATTAGTCATCTTGTATTTTTATCATTAGATCAATCTTCCAAAGTACACTCAAAAGCCATGCAAAAGTTAAAAAAATGAAACAACTGCAACCATGTGTATCTCTAGACATTATTACCTTTTTGTTACGTTTAATTTTGGTAATTAGTAGGAAATCATCAAATAAAAAGAGGTAGACATCAAGGAGTCTTGTGCTTTCTGAGAAGGAAAACAAAAAATCAGTTTTATGGTGTGATTATTTTAAGGAATTGCTACTACTAAGATGAGGCACATCTATGAATCACTGCACCTTACAGAATGCTTTTAACAAAGCAGCCTTGTCTCCAGTATAGTTCACAGCTAGTCGTCCTCCAGTCTTCATTCTCAAATGCACTAAATAATATGTTTCAGTAATTTTGGCTACTAAATTTGTACCTTGTAGCAGCTGCCTCATTCTGATATAACAACTACTTGCTTGCCAGGAAAAAGGACAATAAACAACCATACAAACTATCATCCTATTGGCAGCTTGGCTGTATCTCAATCTCTCTCTGATAAACTATGCAGTTGCTTTTTCTTTCCTGCACCTGCCCAAAAGCTGTTGCAGAGGTTCATTCTGGACCTACCATAACAATGTATAATTCTGTTAAGCTATCTCTGGACACCAGGGGATTCAGAGACTTTACCTGCTAGCATCAGCTTCCCTTCATGAAGGAGAAGTCTGTTCGCTGAAGACAAAATGTTTTCACTGCTGTTTTCTTTTAAGTTGTGCTTCAAACACTTGACCCAAAAAAAGAGAGAGAGAGAATGGTAGAATCATGCATAATGGATGATGAACTAGGAAGCAACTAGCAGCTAAACAAGACAAGCATTTGTGTTTTCTTACCTCAGGCTAAGTACATCACACTGTAAGTGTGCATCAGCTGATAACTTAGCATGCCTGTGTTTCTTCAGCAGTGATATTGCTTAAATGTGTTTATCCTTTTGCAAAGTTAAGCTGGGTTTTACTTTTCCAAATTCAGTTTAATAGTGTTTACAGCCCTGTTTTTATGTGAACAGACATAATCCTTGAGATGAGACCCACTTGATGATGTTACCATAGTGCTGCTTAAAGTCTGTCTGGCTAACGGGGTAACTATGGTAAAAATGTGCACACCTAGATATCCTGTGTAATTTTTGGTAATGCAATTTAAGTGTAAATGGGAAATTTTTTTGCTCAGCTTGAGAAATGAAAGAGGCAAATAATTTCTACTTTATTGAATGCTGGTAATACATCTATCCCATTTCCTTCTGTCCCCTAAAAGCAAATATGGTAGAATCCTCCTGGACTGTATCATTGCCCTCTCTTGGACGCTGAGAGCAGCCCATGCTGCCATCCAAGACAGTGTGTGTGTTGGGGTACAGCACTTGCAGTGCCTGGGTCCTCTTGGAGCAGAGCCATCTCCACTAACTAGAATACAGACAACCAGCCAACTTTAGACCACACTATGAAGACAGATAGGAAAATAAATTCTCCTCTAGAGAAAAAAAAAGTCCTTTAAAATCTGCTTACCTCTGGGACAAAGAACCTTTTGTCACGATCCCAGACCCGAGGCCAAATTATGACCTCTTGCAGCTGCCTGAACTTCTGAAAGTTGTCCAACCACTTGACTTTCCCTTCCAGATCCCCTGAAATGTGTGAAACACCAGTTACTGCCAGGGCTGGCAAAAGAAGTCTTGTTTCTAGAAGATGCTGATACTGATTTTCTCCAGTGAAAGCTGAAGTACTTCACATGTGAGACCCCAGATAAAATCTTGAGCTCATTGTAAAAACTGTCTAAACTCTACTTAGATCAGCAGGAACAGAATTTCAATTCATGCATTCAAAGATGCTTAAATTCACTGCTAAATGAAAAGATTGTATTTACTAATCTGTCTGGGGAACAGGAAATCATATAAAACCCAATTAAACTGTAATCTTCAAAATGTCTTCAAAAAAAGTCCTGTCATTCTAAACTGTCTGGTATGGTGAGAGAAAAATAATTTTCATTATGTACAGCCTGATAAAAAGACTGTTGAAATTAATGAGAGTTAATTTCTGAGGAAGTGTTGCCAGAAGTGACTGAGGTAAGGGGTCACTCAAAATGTAAAAAATGGGGACTGTATCTTTGCCAATTCAAGGCCATTATGGGGAAAGCTTTAATGGATCTGCAACTGAAATTTCAAGCCTTTGGATGGAGTGATATTGCAGATAATGGTTTCAGACACATACCTCCCCACCAGAAGGGGAGTGCTTGGACTAGAACTATTCCTTGTGTTACTGGTTCATTGATCAAAAAATGAAGGCACATCTTTGTCAATGTCTGTGAGTCAAGAGGGGTCACCTTTTCTATCATTGGTTTGCTTCATCTAGAGGTGTCTAATTTCTGGAAGGACCTATTTATTCTGTCAGTAATACTCTCCAAACATATACCATGGTCTTTTGGGGCCACACCTAAAACTGCTGTCATTATATATGTTAAACATATAAATATTATATATTTAAAAAATCAGGGAAAAAAATAATATCTGGACCAGCCACTTGTTTTTCGCAATAGCCAGAGAAAATCTGTAGCTGGGATAACTTTACATAGTAGGACTTTGGCATCAGTGAAAGGTCATGGACATAATATTCCCCTTGTGAGTGCAAATTTATCCTATTAAGGATCAGCCCTAAAAAAATCCTCCTTAGACATAAATCCAACTGAAAGACTTGTTTGTTAGAGATCTTTCTTGATATGGTCCAATTTGAGATCTGCTTTTAATTTTTTGCCTGTCACTGCAGATGATTCTAAGAAAATACAAGTGACTCACTGATTCCTCACTGAGTCCTGTGACATTGCTCAGAGAGGCTTTGACAGCACAAGGTGGCCCAAATAATTCCCTACAGAATGAGGGTCAGGATTGTAGGAAGGCACACACATCCTTGTTGCTTTTCTGCGGAGACACTTGACCAATTCACACTTAAAAGGACATGCACAAAAAAGCCAAATAGCTTTCTAATTTGTAACTGCATACTTGACTTTTAACCTTTGTTACTTACTTATAGACTTTTCCACCTTCTCTTTAAGTGACTGGATAAAACTTTTCTCTGTTTCATCAGTGCTCCTCTTCCAGATGTTGTTGAGGAGGAGGGGATACCGCGTCAGTCGATGTAGAGGAGCAACCAGCAGCTCTGGCAGATGCAATCTTTTGCACTGTTCATTTTGTTCACACCACTGATGAAGACAAAGAAAATGTGCCTTAGGCTTCAGCTTCCTCCTGGCTAGGAGGTAGCAAACAGTTTTCAGTATCATTAGCTGACTGTAACAAGACAGGGACTAATGAAAGATGAGTGTCTCACTCAGTGAGAACAAGGGCAGTATAAAGTTTCTTGTCATAACCCAACAAGTATATAAACCACACAGCCACTCATTCACTCTTCAATCCCTCCTGTGGGATGGGGAAGAGAAATGGGAAATAAAAAAAAAAGTTTGTAGTTTGAGATAAAGGCAGTTTAATAGAATAGAAACAGAATGGAAGAAATAACAGAATATACAAAACAAGTGGTGCACAATGCTCACTGGTCCATGCCTAGCCAGTCCCAGAGCAGAGGCCCCTCCAGCCAGCTTTCCCTCTAGTTTATATACTGAGGATGACACCATATGGTGTGGAATACCCCCTGGGTCAGTTTGGGTCACCTGTTGTGGCTGTGTCCCCTTCCAGCTTCTTGTGCCCACCACACTCCTCACTGGTGGTGGTAAGAGACAGAAGAGTCCTTGCCTTAATGCAAACCGCTTAGCAACAAGCAAACATCAGTGTGATATCAAAATTATTCTCATCTTAAATGAAAACCACAACACTACACCAGCTACTAGGAACAAAATTAACACGATCCTAGCCAAGCCAGGAACAGCTCTCTACAGAGGGAATTGCCCCTCCAGATTCAGTTTCTGCATTGCTGCTTACCATTCCAGATGCTCTGGTCATGCTGTCATATCAAGTAGGGCTCTTATTTAGCTGCTGTTTTGGTTTTATCAGGAAGCCCAGAGAAAATTAACCTCAGTTAGATTTGTAAGCCACCTTATATTTTTGGGTCACTGCTACTTGCCACTGGGGAACATTTTTCCTAGGTGTGGATGTATGAAATCTTCATCAGGGAGCAAGTGATGTGAAACTCTAAGGCCCAAGCTGCAGAGCTTGCTTGCCACAACAAGATGTCCTTTCAATTTTGGGCTAGCTTTGAGAAAAGCCTACTACTTCAGGTTTCTCTTTCTAAACCTGTAATGTTTAAGATTAATCTTTATTTACAGGACACACTGATTGGCTAGTGATATCAGAAAGAGCAGAGCCTGAGATTCCCACCACTACACTGGCTGGTGTCAGCAAAGACAAAATCTGCTGTAGTACTGCAGCTTGATAAAGAGTCCACTGATTGCTCTTTCCAGCCTTAGAGGGAGGTAAATTCTCCCTTACTGGTAGTGTTTTGATGCCTAAGTAAAACATTTCAAATTTATTTTTGTGGGGTTTTTTTTCCCTGTAATTATTTCACTTTGTTAAGGTGGAGGTCACTGAGTCAAGAGATTATGTGCAAAACACGTGAAAGAAGCTAGTAGTTTGTATTTTCTGCCTGCAAAAAGGCAGCCCAGCTCTTCTCCCCCTTATCTGTTCTAAATTACAAGCAGGGACTTCCACACGTGCAGGTGAACATACACTCAGAAGGGTGACTTCCCATTGCTGATAGGCTCTGCAGTTCAAAAATCCATGTGAAATGCTGTCTACACAGTTTTGCTTCTAATGAACATTCCTAGTTTGCTAATGAACATACACTCAGAAGGGTGACTTCCCATTGCTGATAGTCTCTGCAGTTCAAAAATCCATGTGAAATGCTGTCTACACAGTTTTGCTTCTAATGAACATTCCTAGTTTGCTGTTAAAATCCTGTCATAAGGTAAGAAGGCTGAAGACAACAACAATAAGAAGAGCAATAACATCACTTTACCTTCAGGTAGATGCCAAAATCTTCTCTCCGTCTCAGTTTTTCTAAGTAGAAGATGGCAGAAGTATAATTAAGGCAATAAATCTGATGTGTCTGGCAGAGGTCACGCTGGAAAAACTGCAGAAAAGGTTTGTAAATTTATCAAGAAAGAAAAATATAATGACAAAGAGAGAAACAGGGGTTTGGGTTTGTAATGTGCATTTTATATAAGATTTCCTTGTACCTAGGAAAATAGGGAAAGAGGGAATTAAAAAAGTAAAGGGCAGTTTAAACAGCAATAGAACTGTAAAGTAGAAAAAATACAATGCTTCAGTAATGCATGGGAGTAGAATTTTAACAGATCTGCAGAGGTGTGACAGTCTTAGACCTTGTTCTCATTAGAAATAAATGATGTGAAATACATACGGAAGTTGAAGATGAAACTCACTATTTCTGAAACAGCTTTGATGACTTCATGTAGCATGGTCTCTTATACCTGAGTATGCTCTTAGAAATAACATCATAGCCTCATTTACATTGGAGATGTTAAATGTCATACGTGATAAAATACAGCTTTGTCTGGGATTTTGTCTGTCTACACAAGTATTATCAATAAGAATGCCTGAAGTCAGAGGTCACAGGGACAAGAAACAAAGCTCTAGCCTGAATTTCTCTGTGAAAAATCTTAAAACTGAGGTAGAGACTTCTAGGATTTCCCAGAAGTTTTCTAATGGCCTCTACTGCTAGGGAAGGTTCCGGTCAATCAATTGATTTTCTATCTTCATTAATATTTCCAACTTTATAGGCATTGGGAAGCTGAGCAGGAATTAGAACTCCTGTACACTGCTATTCAGACAACTGCCTTGTTTACCACACAGACTGACTAAAAGAGTTGCAGGGTAGGCAGGGCTTGGCAGTGGTAGGACAGCTGTAGCTGCATCTCTCTCTTGCTTAACAGACACAGGCCAAAGTTTAATTTCAGTGTCAATGAGCTCTTAATTAAGCAATCAGAAACACTTGTGGGTCTGATCTATGGAGTAAAGGAGGATCAGTGTGAAGGAGTGGGAGGAGGCAGTGATGAGGCTGGGGTCTGGTTTCAGGGAAACATCTTTCATAGGGTGGGAATCTTGCCTCTGCCAGTGGAAAAGTCTCCTCAGAGTTTGGGCTGCTGTTCCCCAGGGAGGGAAAATCTTTGCACACTTGATTCTGCATACAAGGCACCTTTCCATGACTGCTTCAAACATGCCAATGAATATAAATAAAAATACCTTTCTGATAAGAACAACCTAAGGCTGAGGCCAAACTGCCCATAACAGATATCACAGACTCGACTGACCTGGTTGCTCTGGAGAACCTGTATGCCATGATAAATGGTCTGCTGCTTGTATTAAAAGCAAGAATACTTTAAATTGTGTTACCGTTCTGAGTACGGAGCTGAAATCCATAGGATAGTCTGACTTGCTGATGTGCTTCTTCACAGTTTCAAAAAACGTTTTCAGAAAACTGAGACTTATCTAAGTAAGGGGGAAAAGAATAAAGATAAATTAGCATTAGTGACCCAAAGTTAAGATTAAAGCAGCTTTTTCTTCCATTCCTGGCCTCTCTAAAGGCTCCAAGTGTAATGGGTGCCTATACCTATCTCTACCATTCCCAGAATTGTCTTCAGAATTATGCCCAGAATGCCTTCATTAGTCAGAAGCTAAGACAAATCTATACAAATACCCACTTATGCTGTGATAATGCCTGATGAGAAAAGCTTTGAAACAAGATTAGTTAGTCCATTAAACTTTTCTTAGGGTAGCAGCTGTATTTAACATGGATTGACATTAAAAATGACAATGGGTGAATGGTATCTGCTGGAAAACAATGGTTGTGTATGACAGGGCTGTGGCAGTTAAGGAAGCCTTCATGGTCTATGAGGAAGACATCATCTTTCACTCATTTTGAGTTTGTTTCATACTATTGAAGGTGAAGGAAATATCTGTAAAATACTACAAAAACTCACATATTCCACATAAGTTAACTTTACATGTTTATATTGGCTTCAAAATCCCTACCTTATCAGTCAGTTGGGGCTGCAAGCCTGCTCCTAAGCCCACACTTTCATCCTGAACACACAAATTTCACTATTCACACTATTTTCACACGAATTCACAACTGAGCTAAGCTGCTGACCAAATGTTAGGCCAGAAGGGCACATCAATCTGCTGTGATACTGCTACAGACTGCTTTGTTTGGTGTATTTATGTGGGCAAGGATGCTTATGGGATGATGCTCATTCTTTAATTTTGACCTTTACAATTTTACAGCATACATTTTTTTCAGGGATTCAGCCTGCTGGCAAGAGGATATGCATACTGCAAAATGTATGAGAAAAGGCACCAAAGGCATTGGGAGCAGCTTCTTTCTTCTACATTTAATCAATATTTAAAATATGCATAACAGATGATCATGTATTATCCTCATCAATAAGGACAACAAAATAAGAAATTAAAGCTAGACATTTTTTAAGATAATTCTCTCAACACATGATCAAGCTCCAGCCAAACCCAAAGCTAAGTGAAAGACAACAATATATCCCACTCCCTTCTTTGAACAAGAACAAGGCAATCAACAACCACACATCTGCTGAGCTCTAGTAGTTTCCTACATGTACAGTCTTAGTCCACAATAAGCCAAAGGTGAAACCTGTCAGCTAAAAATCTTTTTCCTTGTATCTCCAAACATACTGGTTGATCATCCAGCAGCTCACCAGGTGTGAGATCTGTGACTGAGCAGCAGTGCCTTGCTCATGTGTTTGAGTTCTGGCTAATTCTCCTTACTGTGAAGACCTTTCCCAATTGTCTTGTTTTGGCTAGAAAGGGAGAGATTCAGTAGTAGGGCAAGGGAATTACAGTAAGGGAAATAAACAAACCCCAACAGCTGATTTAGGGCATGTGATGTGATTGTGAGTAATTAATCAACTAAAACAACTGCAGAGGTATTTCCAAAATTCACTTTGCAATGAAGGGTGAGTTGTCCTGTAAAAAGACCCTCAAGCTAAAAAAAAAACTTATTTTGTTTCAAAAGTAATGTAAAAGCTATTTTTGACTTAGGGGTTTTTGACTTTCAGGAGCTGAAATGGGTCTCCCAGCAACTGGCTAAAAGCAGCAAAGAGCTGGAGCACATCACAGCCAAGCCTTGTGGCCTCCCTCCCCCTGGACATGAACACAGAACATCCAGTCTCTGTGGGAGAGATCCTCACACACATGCCAAGGGACACCTCAGCTGGAGAGAAAGGGTCAGCATTTTGTTTTAACTTGCTCTTTTGGAGTGGCAGAATAGACAGCAAAATCTTTGTGCCTATCTGCTTGCAAAAGGGGACTTGTTATGCAGTTATTTTTCCATGCTTTCTGTTTTGGTGTAGAGATAGGGTAGTTTAGCTTCATCTCTTTTAAAAGGTTGCTGCTTATGAGAATTAGTCTCAAACTTGTGTTTACTTCAGAAACCACTACCAAATGAGCTCTCCCCCATGTTTAAAATGCCATGTTTCTTTGGCTGGAGATACAAGAGGATGAGTTGCACTGGTGATATTTGACTCTCACTGATATACCACATAGAAAAGAGGAAAAGGTGGATTATTTGAACAAAGTTCCAAATGTGAGCATTGAAACTAAATAAGAACCAACAACTTTGGTTTGTTGTATTCTTTTATTGGGCTGATTGATTTCTGATCTGAGTAACACTTTTTCTACTCACCTTGTTTAACTCCTCTAAGTTTGCAAAAAGTCTCCACAAATCCACATCCAAGAGAAATTCATTACTCTGGAGATATTTCAGAGTGTTCATAAATATCTTTAAAACCAAAATAAAGCCATGTTAATTACTGTTTGTGCCAATTCAATAAAAATTCCACCCCCCCTTCCCTCCCCCCCGTCAAATAACATTTTTACTGAAATTAATGAAAGGATTGTTTGATTTAGGGAAGGCAGACAATGGCATTGTGAGAAAAGTTTCCTGATCTGCCTGAAGGTAAAATATTGTTTTGTGCAGAAGAGGGTTATGAGTGATGTCTCTGGGGTTTCTCTGTGGTTACCATGGAGGCAGCTGTGTCCCTGCTGTGCCTCTGGGCAGAAGAGGGGCAAATGAACCCCCTGCAGATCCCTGCGTGAAGGACTCAGTCACATCAGAGTCACAGTCACTGATTTCTATGACCTTTCTAAATGCTCTCCTTCCTTCCCATGCAACTGCTGGTATCTAAATTGTTTAATGTTACTATGAGGAAAAAAGATATTCTTGGATTAAGGTAAGTAGAGGTCCTGTGGAGGATTTTAATCTCTTTGGATTGTTTTATTAGCCTGTGTTCAGTGAAAACTGTTGTGTATTTATTGGCTGTTAAAGATTTTATATTTTTTAATCTAATTGAGTTGTGCTGAATCTGACCTAAATCTGAAAACATCTTAAAACTTATAGGTTACTGAGTAGATTTTTTTTTTGTTTATGTGTATAAACCATCATGAAAAAACCTGTCATCCAGGTGCCAAGACTGAATAACTAGTGAGAGTGCTTGCTTAGCCTTGTGCAATTCTTCAGTTACCATGACCTGGTTGTCCTGAGAGCTTAAAATGGATTTATGGTGGTCTAAAGCTCCCTGTGGAGATTCATTAAAATCAGTGGAATATTTATATACTTGGAAGTAAGCAGGTATCTTTAAAACTGGTTACCCAAGTGCAATGGGTTCTTTCTTCAGCAGGCGAGTTTGGGAAACTGGCATGGATTGAATATTTCATTATTCATGGGCCATGCAGGGCTGGCTTAGGCTTGTCTGTGGGTTCCTACATCATACTCACAAGGAGCCTGCATGCCTGCTGTTATATTAATTCTTCCCAGTATTCACCACTTTTTAAACTTTTCAGATTTCTAAACAAAGTGTATAGAAAGAAGAATGATCTGGTCCTGCCTTGAACCAATAGCTGGTCCTGCTATCCTATTTTCTGTCCCTTCCTGTTCTGCCCCAACAAGGAGCAATTCAGCCCACTCTTCTATTTATTTCCTTTACTTTGCTCTTGTATTGTGCAGGATAACTTTTCAGCAACATGGAAAATGTTTCACAAATCTCTTTTCTTTGACTTAATAAGAAATCAGAAATTGTCTGTGTCGACTAAGAGAAAAATGATTTGTGGAAGCTTCCATCCTTTTGAATGGATACACTAACTTTTGATGTGTGGCGAATATAAATAGTGCAGCTATTCTTGTAGCAGTCTGTAATATTCCTGTCCATATTTCAAACTCTTAAAATTCACTGTATTGGAGGTAATACAGTGTTTTTGGGAGAGGAGTTATTTTCAGTGTACTTGTTTTTGTGTAACATTAAAACTACAGGTCTGCTGAATTCTGAGGTTTTCATGCTCCTGTCAGGATAATCTAACCACAGCTCTATATCAAGTTAAATGACAAATATAATGTTGCACACTAGCAATATTAGCAATTGTACAGAAATAACTGGTTGCAGCATGGTTTCAGTACAGTGCTTGTGAGAGAACTAATGGAATATCAGTTGAATATCCTGGAAGGCTCTGCAGTCAGGTGGTAGTTACAAAGCACTAGATTGCATCACTCAAAAGTGATGTTTAGAAATATACAATCATAAAGACATAAAAGGGAGCTATACAAACAGGATGAGCAGGCAAGGTGAGAAGAAAAACCAGATGCTTAAGTAATTCCTCCACAGATCTCTAATGAGAGGTTTCAGGAGGCTTTGTGTCCATCACAGCAGAACAAATAATATTTCATTATTTTTGTGAAGTGAAATCTGACATTACCATCTTGAGAACCAGCAAATGATCCAGAAAGTAAGTGCATTCACTTGTGAAAAGTTCCCACACTGCTGCTTCTTTTTTCATTTCTAACTGGCTGTTGACATCTTTCTGCTCAGTCTGTTGCTCATTTATAAATTCATACCAAGATTTACTCTATTGATTGAAGAAGAGAGAAAAAAATGTTGCATCAGCTGCTTCAGACCATATGAAAAGAATCTGTCCTATTTACTGTGTAAATTTTATCTACCAGTATTAGCTATTTTTCTTCTGAAAGCTTAAAAGTGCCTTTAAAATATTTTAAACCCCACCATTCTTATCTAAAACACAATATAAACACACTGAATTTGAAAGCAACACAATGTGATAGTCTATGTTTAGGTATGTTGTATTAAAAATTAGTGGGCAGCTTACAAATGCTATGGAATTTGCTCTTATGTGGATGATATCTTCTTATTTTCTAGATGATGATAAAATCAAGGTACAAAGGACTAGGTTATAGTCACTTGGAAGTTGTTTTGTTTAGTCCTAAGGTGGCCACTATCACATTATGGACCTGCTCCAAAGTCACAAGTCCATATATAAATTAGACACTGACAGGAGCCCTCAGCAATTGTGTGTGGGGAGCTGCAGATAACAGCCTGCTGTGAGAAGCAAAAGGTTTGCTTCAGAGAGGGGATGGTGTTAGGTGGCTAGGGGTCAGAAGCCTTCTTTGTCTGGGAGACAGGCTTTGGTGGCTTTTCTAGAGCCAAACCTTGTTGTTAGCAATGACCTGCGTGTGGCTGCTCTGAACACAGCAGTGGGGGTGGCTGTGTCCCATTTGACATCTCTCTGATGCTATAGTTTCTTTCCTCTGCTTTTCTAGTACCTGTAGTACACTGTAGATGTTGCCTAGAGACCTTTTTCTGAAGGTGATACCTTCTAGGGTAATCTGGAACCCTGGCAAAGTCCAGGTGATTTTGAGGGTCCTTGCTAATCTACTCTGACCCTCAGTTTCCCACTTGCCCCTCCATTTGTCATTTTGACAAAAAATATATCATATACTTATGCATTCATTTAACAGAAAGGCTCATATCCAGATTAATGAACTGAAAAATGTTAGCTTATAAAGAACATAAAATTCCCCCTTCCATCCTGAAGTATCCTTGATACAGTATACTGAGTATTTTGATACCTTAAAGCAGAAAAAATCATCTGTGCAGCGGTCTGTGATCTTAACAGTAGAAAGACAACTTTCCAGATCAGAGGCTTGCTTCTGTTTGTCTTTACCCTGTTGAATGACAAGAAACCACCCCTGATTCATACAGTGTTTTAAAGACTGTTAAGACGTTTACCCCTCTTGCCCTAATCCTTAAGGAGTTTGCCCTTAAATGAGTGATTTCTCTATATTTCCAGGCTCTTCTACACAGAGACAAGGCAGTGATGGCAGGTTTCTTTATAGCTGTGGGTGGGCTGTGGAAGTGCCTCAGGTTTGGATGTGTAAGACTATTATTTACATAATACACAAGTCTTTGACAGAGCAAACCATTGGTAACAGGCAATGGACTACCCTTGGAAGACAGAACAAATGAAATGTTTGCTTCCCTTAGCACTGTCAGAGATAGGGGACAACATATTCATAGTTGCTATCCTGTCATAGATATACAAATTTATGTGTTTTTTTATTTTTAATTTTTTGAGCTACATATGGGAAAAAGCTCCCTCTGCAGAGTACTGTCTATAAAATGAGCTTTCAGAAAGCTAAAAGAACAGCAGGGCATTATGTGAGGGACCATGAAATAAAAACAATTACTTTTGTTTGGCTTTGTTTATTCAGGCCTTGTGAAAGATTTAAACATTCTTTATGAACTCTAATTTAGTACTGTGGGCACAGACTTATAAGGTGTTTGCCTAAGTTTTATCTGTTCTCTGGAACAGTATATTCCCACTTCATGGATTTCTATTATCTGAACTTTAGGCACTGAACTCAGGCCAATTTTGAAATATGTGTTTGATTATAATATTTGAAACTTAGGGTTTAAGTTCAGCTCCTAATTTTGAAAGATAGATTGAAATAGGGCAGAAAAAATAATGCAGTTAATATATATGCACATATATATGAACCAGTGTACCAGCAAATGAATGTTCATGAATTAAATTTTTTGGCATTTAATAGTCTTAGAAATCACTTTTGTCTAATTATCAAATGCTTTTTATTGCAGATTCAAAGTATTTTGCTGAAATTTAAAAATCCTCAGGTTTTGGTCATGCTCCTTCAAATGCTATGAAACTACTATCAGATGAAGAGGGAGTTCTTGTACATATAAACCTAAATACTTGCATTGTTTCTGCATGCACAAACTATTCTTTTATAAAATGCAAAAAATACTGGGAAGGGACTTTTCTTAATTACATGCTTTGGGAAGAAAATGTTATCAAGAAACTTGTAAATAATTTTTGAATACTGAAAAGTATACAGAAAGGAAATTCAGATACCTTAGTAAGTGAAAGTTTTCATAAATGGAAAAGATAACAAATTGTGTTAGACAAAGAAATTCACTGTGCTTTCACTGTTGAGTGTGAGGGCACCCTGAGGACAGGAAAGGCCTAAGAAAATGTCCTGGAATGCTGCTTGTATAGGTAAAGCTTAGATCCCTTCCATGTGGGTGGCAATTCATCACATTCTCCAAAGCCCTAAGGCACACAGAAAATACAGGATACATGATGGTGAAAGCAACGATGCAACTGATTTGTCCACCTTGTGCTACCTTACTCTAGGGAGATACACGGGGCCTGCTGCCATCCCTGAATGAGAGCCCCTGCTCTCACTGCCCATCCCACTCCACCCTCCTGGTGCCAAGGACACCTCTCCTCCCACCACCCACAGGGATGGGGAGCAGTGGCACCGACTGTTTTCATGTGCATCACATGCAATGGCTGCACTGGAGCCACCCAGTCTTCATTGCAGATGAATGTGCAAGTGGTCCCAGGGAGACTTGAGACACCTCTGAGTTCAGCTCATCTGCTGGCTGCCTTTCTCCAAGGGCAAGAAAGTAAAGGAGCTACTTTTATCCAGGTTAGTGTGGGAAAAGGCAAGGTCAGTGCAAGGAAAAATAAAATTGTAAAAATACTCACAATTCCTCGTTTGGCAAATGGCCACCTTGACTTTTTGGACTCTAATGGGCAAAACAAGTGTCATCAGTAAGG